TTCTTCCTGAATGTTTTGTTAGCACCTGTCGTTCACGCTCTACCTCGATCATTCATGTTCTTCAGTTTGACACGTGGGTCTTTTTTCTCTCTCCGCGATGATGCTCCCTGCTTCTTCTATTTATATTTCCCGCAGTTACGTTGTATTTTGTGAGCCCAGCCTAGAATTTATTATTCTTCGGGTTAATTTAAAGGCGGATTAACTTTGTTAGAGTTCTAATATAGAGCATTAATATTATATTTAGTGTCAAGTAGCCTTTGCTTTTCACTACAATTTTCACGATGCGGTAGAATTAAGTGAGATTTATTATTAGTTTTGTTGGTGTTACGAATTGATTTAAAGCGGAGTATCTTACGGTTTATAATGATGTCAGCGAATTTAGGTTAATAATTATTCTTATTGTATGAGGTTTAGATGTACTTTATTTCATCTTCAATAAATTCATTACTACAGCTTTCAGGTTTCTGTTTATTTAAGCTTTAACACAGAATTTTCATTGTTTAAATGATTATATGAGTTAAAGTCTAGATATTTGTCAACTTTAGTAGGTTTATAATAAACTTTAGTTTTATAGTAATTGCTGGAGTTAATAATTAAGGCGTAAAGAAATACTAGCCTTCTCTTTCAATAGTTAACCTGATATTTTGAGGGAATCGGCTTTTGGGGATCTCTCATAATTTGTTTTCGCTGCCACTCGGACAGTTGGCAAAGATATCGTCAACATATCCTTTAAAAAGCCTTGGAAAAAGGTGTGGTTCATGTTTCGAGCAACAATTTCAAAATGCTCCATAAAATTTCAATGGCGATGTAGAAGGCAGGTTAGCCATGGATACTCCTCTGGTTTGTTTGAAGAAACTACCGTCAAAGGAAAAATAATTCGCCCCCACCTTCTATTATCCATTTTGATGTGATTTCTAACAATAAATTGCTCTGCAAATTGACAGTACCATTCCAATTACAAAAAAATAAATTTCCCTTCAGAAACTTTCAAGCTTTATTGCGTAAATAAACTATTTTATTTGCATATATTATATTCATGGCTTAGAAAATCGACAACATGATGTAAATAAAATTTTGAATAGTGTTTCTAAGCTGTGTCTCTAGTCGGGTTTAAGTAATTAACCACTGCGTCAAGTCTGTTTTGCCTCCTTGTACTTATCAGTTGTTTAATGTGATAAAATAAAATTACAGTAAAATGGTTAGCTTGCCAAATGTTCATAAGAATTTCTATGAAATTATGCATATGCAGTAAGTTCACTTAAATTCTATAGTTGGAACGGCTGCCCAGTTCGAGAAATAATTCCAATTCCCTGAACAAGATGCAGCTGCTGTAGCGAGTTTAATTTAGAAGGTATGATATTCCTCTCTGGTTTCCAGAGCACCAACTTCAGGGGTTGATGCAATGGTCCCAGTCTCAATCAACGGAGTCAATCGTTTAGGATGAATTACAATGCGAAACAGTTTTTTCACCTGTTCAATGCGTTCGAGTCATTTGACCATTCCGGCTCCACGTTGAATCTTCTGAAGTCATATTCGAAACTCTGACTGCCCCAGTCCCCCATCCCCTAAACTGATATTTGACTAATCATTAGGGTAACATTATACTTAGGCTATTTGCTATATAAACGAAGCAGAGGAGGATCTTGCGCAGTATTTGCATGAATCCATCTGCCTGAGGTTCAACACTTACTAAATTACCTCTACAGTGTGACCCCTTTCAATCGTCATGTTCATGGTTTGTCCATGAGCATGTTTATTCATTTGTGGAACGATATTTCTCTAATTTCTATTCATCCATCACTTTAGTCTGGTACTGAAGACCCAGAAACATACAGATGTTGACGATCAAGCTAACAGAGTCTGCAGGATCAGGAAAACACGCATGTTCTTCTTCAGCAAATTTAACAACAGAAGCATCACATCATTATTTTCCCATTTCAGGCAAAAGCGAAACTCATTTTGGCTACCTCACAACTTTGGTGATTCTTGATGCAGAATTGTCTACCATTGCGCACATCAAAGTACGAAATCGGGGAAAGTTTGACTTATATTTCCATGTATGCAAATCAAACTTTCATAAAGAATGTAATACATAACTCGTACACGATGGAAATGATGGTGATTGAAGAAAGGCTGTTTT